TCCTTTTTCTTGTTCCATGACCACATGAGAATTGGACGGCCAATGCATGGTTGAAAGACGAAGAGAAGACCATGGCTAGCAAGGAGTGGATGAGTTTCTTGAAGATGAAGCAAAATAAAATTGAATAAGAAACATTTTCTTTGTAAACAAAATATTTGTAGCTTGTATTTCAACATTTGTAACATGTTTTGTAACTTGTCCCAAAAATGTAATGAACACAAAACTTGAATGATATATTTTTTGAATGATGAATTCGTTGTATGGAAACCAAACAACTCTTGAATCTTGATTGAAAAATGGAAATTTCCACTTGAATGGTTTAAATAACACTCTTCACTTCGTAACTTGGAATTTAAGAAATCAAACATGACTTTAGTAACTTGTATCTCAAGTAACCATGCACCTTGTCTTTCAATTCCCAACCTTCATATCACGTCCAAACCCCACTTACACTCTCAACGAGAAACTTAACTCTGATATCCAAATCACAAGTGATTTGCAACTGAAACAACAAAAACATGCCTTGACTATCATGAAACTTTCAACCTTATTTCTTATGCCCAGATTCCGCATTCGTCAACTTAAAATTCAAACTCTCGACTCGGTGACTTTGAGATCTTAAGAAGAAAACTTGAAATGCAAGGAGATGAAATCCTTGACCAAATGCACTGAACTTTGAGTTATCTTTGAGGCAGGCAAAAGAAACATCTTCATAAAAACCAAGGATCCAAAACCCTAGCATCTTGACCAACAAATTGGGAAATAAACCCTAATCCAGGCTCTGATAAATTCGAGCGAGAAACAACCTTGTAATTTGATAAGAAAGAAATCCATGATACCTCAAATATCCATCCCACGATCCACTAATCGAGAACCAGATGAATTTCCCTTTTACCTGATAGGAGAACTTCAAAACAAAATTAGGCATAAAGAGGGCACAACCATAATACCTCAAACCAATGTGTCTGATTCGATGAGATGCAGGATATGCAAATGACTTAGTGAACATGGTACAAATGGGATGCAAAGTTCAAAGCCAGACAAAAGTAAAAAGAGGTAGGGCAAATTTGAGGTACGACAACTATATGGACCTGGGTTCGAGCCCCAGCGGTACCCTTTTATTTATTTCATATTTGTTTCTTTCAGATCTAATGCAAACATGTTCAAGGCGCATATGGTGTTCCTCTCTCCATCACCATCAGATCATCACAAGATTAAATCCAACGCTCCAGATGAACAAACACATGATACACTTTCAAGAGGCTACCACACTGAATAAATACAGGGACTGGGTTCCTTGTTTTGGGCCCAACATTTTTTTTTACACCTCCTTTTTTACTTCACACCACAGGCCCATTCCCTTTTTATTTTTCTGTTTCAAATAAATTATGTTGGACCTAACACTTTGTTGCTTTTCACCCCTGACTGCTTTTACACCACTGACCCACTTAAATTTCTTTTTATTATGTTAATTATTTTTTTCTTTTTTAATTAGGTTTAGATTTTAATCAACTAATTTAATTTTCGTAAATAAAAATTAATTAATTTATTTTATTTTTAACTTGTAAAAAAATAATTAGAACTAAGATTTATTATTTTGCATTATAAAATATTTTTTCAAATAAACACCAAAAAAGATGTTTTTTAAAATAATTATTTTCTCTTTAAAAATTATAAATAAATTAGACTTAGGTTTTATTTAAATTTTCTTTCTTTTTTAAATCAACATAGATTTTTAGGTTAATTAACTAATTAATTTCTTTTCAATTAGAACTAATTAAATGGTTAAGTTAATCATCAGACCCTTTTTCTATAAAAAAATCACCAAAACAATTTCTTTTTCCTTTTTTCTCTACTTCACATTTTTGCAAATTTTATTATTTCGCATTATCATTTATGTAAATGGTCTGTAATATATAATTAGAATTTATTGCTTTCCTCCCTATTGACAAATTTGTATCCCCCAAACAATCTAGCTAGAGACTTCATTGCTCGAACACTCTGTTTGAGACTTTAAAAATTCTAAACAAAATATTTAGAATTTACAACAAGATGTACTTGATATACAATCAGAGGTACACAAATAATACAATACAAACAAAGTTCTTGTTACTTGAGATTTCTATGATATACAACTGTAAAAAATCTTAAGACTATGTGCATTATAATAACTATGTACGAAAGCTTGGTGGTCAAATTAGTTCTTGTTGTTTATTGTAATATCTTGTTATTGTATATTGGTCTGTCTTCCTTTGAATCTTCAGCTCCTTATATAGAGGAAACAAAAGAGACGTTAGAAGCTAACTTGTATAGTGTCTTTGTTAAATAAGGAGCCTCCAAGAGATAGACGTTGAAAGATTGTACTGTTAAGAATTTTCATCTTCTGATTCTCAAGCAACGACCAAGAGAATGTTGGGGCAGACTAAAAAAGTTGTGTCAAACCACCTTGAGCCCTACACTAGTACTCCTAGTTGACTTTCTCCATAATCACACTATTTACAAGATGAAGTTGCTTTTCAGAGATTACAGACCAAAGGCGTTGTACTATGTTTCCATGTCATCAGAATATGAGTTACCAGGCACTAAGGTTCCAAATGCTGATCAGATTATGATCCTTTAGAATCTGAGTCATCTGCTTCTTCATAAGCAATTTAACTAGGTCAGAACCAAATTAAGCTTAATGATCCTGGACACTTAAACAAATATTAGTATACCCAATTATTTTTTAAGTATATTTTTATCATCACAATCCAAGGAGTATGAACAAATTTTGTTCCAACAACCTTTCCAAGAAGGAATTCAAGAGGTCATTTTAATCAAATTGTTAACAAAATTCAATGTAAGTAGGATCACAATTTCTAAACCACTCCTTAGCACGATTCCCTACTACCATATACAACATGCTAAGATCCCCAAGACCATATGTGACAAGGTTAAGAATCCTAACAACCATTATTTTAGAGTTATTCAAAGTAAATATGGGTGTAATAGTGACCTTATTTCTAGCATTGACACGTAACTTTATGATTCTACTTTGCGGAAAACATTTGCCGATATTTGGCATGATTTTCATCGTCACGTGGTTTGGAAAATATGGGATGAGCATAATACAATTTTTTGGCTAGACAAGTGATCTCTTAATTAATTTTTTGACTAGACTATTGAACGATATTTGGGGTGATTTTTGAGACATTATATACTTTGGGAGATTGGGACCTTGAGTTTTTCACAAACAACTTGCCATATGATATTGTTAGTCAAAGTATTTCTCTTTCAACACTTGGCCCTAACACGATTGGGTGGGGAGGAACCAACACCTACCTATTTACAATACAAAAGTGCTTAGTATATATGGAAGTGGAGGAATATAATATTTTTGAATCTAATTTCCAAATGTTTAACAATTCAACTTTATTGATCTCGTTTTCAGAATATTGAAGAATGCAATTTGGAGCCACTATGTAGAAGTCCCCAGTTCAATGAAACTTTCTACTTAAGATGGAAACAACCACAAGAATTGGACTAAACTCAATACCAATGGTGCTTAAAAAAAAAGGAGAAATTGTTAAGTATGACTGTTTTTTTTTAGTAATTTAGAAGATGGATGGATTAAAGGCTACTAAAAGAAAATAGAGCTTGTGATACCTAAGATGTGGATTTGTTTTTGGGAATTGAACATGGCTTGGAAGGAACATTATTCTCATCTTATATTTAAAAGTTACTTGAAGATTTTAATCGATATGATCTCTGAAAATTGCAAATTTATTATGAGAATTCATATTTTAGTCGTTGTATCCGAAAACTATTGAAATTGAAATGGAATGTGAAATTCAACCATAGTTACCAAAAAGAAAATGTGAGTGTTGATTGACTTGCAAACTTACACTTTTATGAATCATTTGAATGAGTCTCATTCAAGAGAACTCCAAAAGATCCAAGATCTTCTATGTTCACATGTTTAGAGCTTGCATGCTTATAAATATTCGTTTAAATTCATAATTTATTTTCTTTTTCTTTGGTGTTATCCTCTTTTATAAAATAAAATTCAATAAATTTAATTTAATATGTTTATTTCATATATATAATAAGTCTTTCTAAAATCTTTTATATATTATTTTATATAAAAGTATTAGTAATATGAGATTCAATTGAATTTTAGAGAAAAATAGAAAAACTAAAAAGCTATATAAATTACACTTTGAATCTCCTAATTTTGTTTTTGTTTTACACCATTAATTTAACTGATTATAAATTTACTTATTTTTTCACTTCCTTAATTAAATATCTAGCTCAACTTTTGTTAATAATAGTATCTTTAGAAAGTTATAATAAACACATTTAGTATATTGAATGGAGACTTATAATTAAAGAGACAAAAATTTCTTTAAAAAATATTTAATGTTTATAGTTAGAGATAGATGGAGAATATACATAGATAAGATTGATCCAAACGTCCGTCAAATAACGTATAATAAATATTTTAAATGATTATTTAATTAAAAAATATCATCAAATGGTTTCGTGGTGTAGTTGGTTATCACGTCAGTCTAACACACTGAAGGTCTCCGGTTCGAGCCCGGGCGAAGCCATTTTTTCCCAAACTTCTATTCTATTTTTATGATTTTTCAAAAACTGAACAATAACAACAAAACGTCGCCGTATTGCATTTCATTTTCGTGGATAGCAACATTCTTCACCGATATCAACGGCGCGTAATTAGCACTTTCCAAAATTAAACCTTCCCTTTTTTCCCCTTTCCACGCGCCTCTATCTCCACGAATCTCAACCAATCAAAATCTCTCTCAAATAACTTTCTCGTTTCTCATTGGTCCACGTCATCACCCCAGAACCTTTCGCTCCAAAATCAAACCCATTATTTATTTTACACTCGTTCACAATCCCTCAAACCAATTAACCAAACCAAAAAAAAAAAAAAAAAACAAAACAATTTAACTCAACCATTCCCAAAATCGCTTCGTAAAATCATCATCGTCATCAACATGAAATCGCTTATTTGCATCGGAATCGTTTTTTTTCTCCTTAATTCATCTCTCGCTTCCGACGCCAATCCTCCATATCCCAAGGCTTTTTCTGTAATAATTCTTTTCCAAATTCAAATAAATAATAATTAAATAAATTACAGTTTTTTCTGACGGTTAATTTATGTGCAGGATTTGAAGGAATCGATTGTGAAAGGGTTAGGGTTTACACCAGAAGATGATATTAAGATTACGGGATTTGATCCGAGAGAAGCTCAGGTTGGGCATTCTGTAGAATATCAATTCGACGTTGAAATCGATAATAAGGTTATTCCGTTCAAGCTTCTTGAAGATACCAAACGTTGGGATTATGTTGATCTTCCGATTTTTCGGGCTGAGGATCAAAATGGGTTGGTTCAGAAACGGGATTCGGCTGATGGGTTACCCGTTTTGGCTCCGTTTCAGCTTGCTGGACCCATGGAGCTTTGGATTCAGGATGCTAAGGATATGAGAATTTCTCTCCCGGTAAGTTTCTTTTCTAATTTTCCCTTCATTTATTGTAAACTATTTTATTGACATTTTGGTAAATTCTTGTTTTTTAATGTTTAGTTTTAACTTTAATTGATTAAATTTATGTTTTCAATTTAATTGATTAAATTTATGTTTTCAATTTAATTGATTAATCAATATTAGGGGCTATCTAGGAGCAGTTTTAGCTTTGTATGTATGAAATTTATTGTGTCTTTTGATTAGCTTTGGCACTGGTTATGTTCTATGGTTCTATCTTGAGGATTAATCTGTGTAGTTGTGTAGTTGTGTATCTAGCATCTACATCTCTGAAAGAAGGTGTGTCTCTGTCAATGACATTCTCTGAAATGTCTATGCCTGAAACCGACACCTCTGAAAGAATACACCACCTCTGAAAGAATACACCTCTGAAAGAATGTGTGTCAATGTCTATGTCCGAAATGCTAATGCCTGAAACAGGCCGGCGTATGATTATTTTAATTTATTATTTTTAAAAATTGTTACCTTTGTTGAAAGGTGTTCGTGTTGTGTACCACTTTACATTAAAGATAATTGATTTTGATTGTGTGAAGATTTGATATTAATATGCAGAGAAATTTGATTTGATCATAAGACAGAAGGATTCAAACCTGTCTTCATCAATTAGGCAATAATTATATATTACCTTATATGAAACTTTTTTTCATTCCTTAAATATATGATTGGAATATACAGTATTAAAGAAATTTGTTTTGGTGATATGGTGAAGATTAAATGGTGTGTGCTGTAAAGAGTAAGGGAGTTGAATTCAAATGGTGTAGTTGGAAGTGGATATGTGAAATTGACTTGATGTTGTTTTGGTATTTGCAGCATGATGTAGAAGCTGGGGTGTTGAAGAAAGTGATTTTGGCTGATGGTGCTGTGGTTACTGTGAAAGGTGCGAGATCAGTGAGTCTTCGTCATCCTCTTAATTTACCTCTGCCCTTAAACAGAACACAGAATGGGTTTGCTGCTGGACTTCTAGCCTTGGCTGAGCATCTCCGCCACGCATCTCTTGGCCAGAGTGATCCCCTTCTTTCACTCCGCATTGTTGGTCCTACTTCACTTGAAGCCCCTTCCTCTGCGTCAACCTCTCCAAGTAACAGGCTGAAGCTCAAGCGTCTTGCACCTGGTCTCGTGGAGTTATCGTCTCAATCAAAAGCCAAGCTAATTGACACCCTTTCTACCGTTGATCTCCAGGAGGGAGCCCCAACTCTCCTTACTCCAACACAGTTTACCGCATTATGGCCTCTTGCCTCCCTTAATGGATCAAATTCCAACTTGTTGGGTTTTGAGAAACTGTTATCTTCTGTGCTCGGTCCTCAGGCTAATGAAAAGGGTTCCTTCAGGTTGTTGAAGGCAGATGTTTCTGCTCAGACTTTTGTGAAGATAGGATTTCAGGCTGAGAAGAAGCTGAAAGAAGGAGATGGGATTAGCTTTGAGGGTTTCCCTGAATGGAGGACTAAGCCTGAGACTGTGAGATTGCATTTTGAGGTGCTGGCTAAAGTTGATGGTGACAAAGTCATACCTGAGAGAGTAATGCAACTAAACCCAGTTATTATGGAGGACAGTGTGGCTTTAGGTATGTTGACTAATAATGGAACCATGTCAAAGATGCCAATTGTTCAACCTCCCCCAATCCCATTTGCACTGTAATTTGTGCAAAGGGTTTGTTTCTGTACCCTTTATCCAAAGGATTTGTAAATGAGATTCTGGTTTTGCCTTTGATGTATAGTATGCCATAGTTAAAGATACATGTAAAAATGCCAAGTAATAAGAAATTTGTTTTATTTGTCCAGTTGCTTCTTATTCTGATGATTGTTTATCAATACTACTCTGGTCAAACAATAGTTATTAACTTAAAATGTAGGACTTGATGTTATCAATCATTAGTTATAGCTTCGTGAATTTAATTGCATTCCTCTCAGTTTTTAAACTAGAAGAACCCTTCCTAAAGACCTCAATTGTTTCTGCAATTTCAAGCATTTGGTCCAACTCAACAGTTTTGAAGATACAAGAGTAAGAAGGTTCAATTCTAGAGATCATTATGGACTCTTAGGCTGACATGGATATAGTTACTCAAGGCAACTGTTCAACATTTAGAAATTATTGGCTCGTTGAAAAAAATGGTCAAGAGATGGCATGCCTTCAGAAGAAGACTTCAAATTTATTCCCACCAACTTTGGGGCTTCTCACCCAACCAATGCTTCACTTTTCAAATGGGAAAAACTCCAATTTCAAAAGGTTAAAATTGATTCTGATTTTCTTAAACTTATTATAATTGACCTCCCTATTGGAAGTATTAAAAGGCCTCTTGATCTTTAAATATGAGAAAATTTCCCAATTGTACTTTCTATTTGATAAGTCATAATGTTGCTAATCTATTTATACACAAACCATAAAATTAAATTCTCATCAAAATAATCATCATACTCATTTTTCAAAATTTAACACAATATTTTTCTCTTACATGTAATACTGCTTTGCTGGTATACAAGCAGCACGTTGCACTTTTCATATCTAATCAGTGTTCCTTCTCAACCTTTCAGCACGACTGCACAACTAGATTCCTTCACTTTTTGAAAAGTATTTTTTCCTTTCCAACTTTACATTATTGACATCATTATCAATCGACTGATTTCACACCTACAACACTACACTCTATCTCCCTGTAACTTCTGAAAGATTCAACATTCCAATGTTTCAAACACCACCACTCCTTCTAACTTCTTTGAGCATTAATTCCTAGTACCATTTCTGTTGTAGTCCATTTTTTCACATGCGAGGTCATATTTCTTCTACTTCGGTCATCATATTATAAATGTTAGATTAGACTGTAAATAATAACATCTATAGTTATTTTAATTTATTAGTATGAGGACCATCAAGGAAGCTTATTAGGTTAAACTTATCTCTATTTAAGATAAGATAGTATATTTTCCTATTATAAATTACAACTTTGTAACATAACAAAATACTATTTCTACATGATATCACAAGCTTCCAATTTTAGGGGTCTTTTGCTTAAATTTTAGTTGTCGTCATTGAGGTTTATTTTGTTTTCTTCTTAATCACAAACTGTTTGAAATTTCGAGGTTCTATTCATACACACTAACTATTTACTTTGAAGGAATGATTCATTTGGCATCATTGTTTGCAAGTCAGTTCATCTCAAAAGTATTATTTATCTGCACTCATTGCTCACACGATTATACTGTTCATCCTAAAAGTACTATTCATTTCTATCATATTGTTTGCGCATTGGCATTGTTCATTGCAAAAACATGATTCTTCTGGAGGGTTTTGATTTTGCTATTTGTACCTTATTATTTATTATTTTATTAATTGAGTCTCCTCTAAGTTAAATCTTTGTGTATATCTTATAATTGAATGCAATTCATTAAATTGAGTGCAATTCATTAAATCGTGTTTTTACACGCATAAATCAAATTTTTAGGTAAAAGTCGATGCAATATGGTTCAAGTTAAATTAGTCGAATATTTGGGTCAAAAAACGTATGAATACTTGATTCCTATCATACTAATTTTAGCTTCAATCATACACTTCAATTTAGTTTTTTTTTTTTTTTCAAAATCAAATTTTGAGTTCTTGATTCAAATCATATATTTATTTGACTCGAATCATGCTTACTGCTCTTGTTCGGATTAAAAGGGTATTTGCTCACTTTTAGTGCTCTATCTCAAGCACATATATAAATCATACTTTGTCATTTTGAGAGTATTTTAAAATATAGTTTTTAGCTTTTTGAGAGTATTTTAAAATATAGTTTTTAGCTTTCAAAGTACACCAAATCATAATATTCTTTTGAATCTGCACTCATCTTCAACCTCTGGAAAGAGGCCATGAATTGGTTGCTTTTCTATTTTTATAGAGAGTAAGATCTCTCATAGAGAAGAGTTTTTCATCAGCGATGTTTGTGAAATTTTTGAGGTGTGGGATAAGATTAGTATTGTGTAGTGTTGTTAGGAATTGATAATTCAACAAGAGTAAAAAGAAATGATTTCTTCTCCATCAAATACTTTGGTAAAACTGAGTAAAGGTTGTTATAGAATGAAGTAAAGAGCTTTTTTTCCCTTCAAATAAGTGAAGAGCTCAAATAAGATACTAGTATGATCAAGTAAAGATCATTGTTGAACAAATTCTTGGAGCAGATATGGAATATGAGTAAGAGGACGACCAAGATTGAGTGAAGGTCTTGAAATTTAAGTTGTGTGGATTGTGTATAACAGAAGAAGGAAAGATTCAGATTAAAGTTGTTAATTTTATTTTTAATTTCAATATATAGCTCCTTGATTGTATAAAAATATACATTGTAAAAATTGTCAAAATAATGGAAGACTGCGAACTTTTCAATAGTATGTCATTGGAGATTGGATTAGGCGCAAAACGAGGACGAGCGCGCAAAACCAATATGAACTCCAGTACAATCTTCTCTTTTCTCATCTCTTTTAAATTTTGTGTATAGTAGATATTCTTGAATTTTACCGCTTTCTTAGAAACTGCATGTTGTTAGGCTTAAATTTATTCATAGTGATTTGTTGTGTAAAGTTTAGGTCGGATAATGATTAATTCATTCTGATATTCTTTGACGGTTATGAACGTATAAACTCTTGATGTTAGATTGATAATTTAATTAATTAGATTCAATTTGAATCTTGTGTGAAAATTGGATTGTGTTAATTATTGTATCGCTCGTTTAAGCACTTCATATTTCTTAGTTGTATTTATGATAATATAAGTTAACTGTGATATTTATTAAATAGTACCTTATATAAAATCTCTGCCACATTTTTGCCTTATTTGTTATTTTTGCATTTGGTTGTAAGATTTAGATTTTCAAAGAAAATATTTTTGAGAAAAGTTTTAGGGGAACAATCTATTCAACACTCTTTCTATACCATTCAATATCCACATCCAATCACAAAATTATTCAATACCAATAATATTTATATAATTTTGTTTTCTTTCCTTTAAAGTAGGAAAAAAAACTTGGAACTTATCTTGCATGTCCCTTTGATATTAGTTGCTAATTTTCTTCTTCTTGTTCTCTAGAGAAGACACTTTTGCAAGTATAAACTAATATAGTTGAAAATAGATCTATTGTGATTTTCATCTTTAATTACATCGGTATTGACTTCAAGAGTATTTAAATTCTTGATTCTGGTACCACTCATCTCATGACATATGATTCTAAATATTTTTTAAAGAATATTTCTCATTTTGACATTCCATATATTATTATTGCGGATGGTTCTCATATTTGGATTGATGGTTGTGGAGACATTGATCTTCAATATTTTAAATTGAAATGTATGCTTCATATTCTCAGTCTACCGACAACCTTATCTTTATTTGTAAGTTTATAGAAAATAATAATTGTGCAACTATATTTTTTTATTCTCATTGTACTTTTCAAGACCTTGCAACGGAGAAGATGATTGGAGTTGTTAAGGAACATGAATGGTGATACTATCTCTCTAATGTATGAACTAATCAAAAGGCGTTGTCTTTTGCACTTCAATCTAAGTCAAGATCATGTTCTTCCTCCCAAATAAGGCTTTAAAATAGATGACATTGTCATCCTCCTTTTTCATTAACGAAGTGTATGTTTCCATCACTATTTTCAAAATAATATGTTGAATATTTTAAACGTTATATTTGTCTATTTTCTAAACATAGTTGAACTACTTTTCCTCTGTCTTACTAATATTGCTGAGCCATTTGATCTTATTCATTATGATGTTTGGGGGTCATCCATGTTTCTAACATTTTTATGCAATATGATTTGTTTCTACTTTGTTCTAGACTGACCCAATAACTAGAATTGACCCAATCCGCTCCTACCTCTAACATGGCCCAACAAGCGTTGGCCCAATAACTATGGCTCTGGATAGAGCACGTGTGGCCGACTATCCTGTGGGACTACGAGACCAACAACGCTGAAATCATGCACCTGCCAGTACCGACAACTTCCTACCCGATCTACTCGCTACATGTCGAGCAGACAACCAGACTAGCGCTCACAACACATCTCCCTGTCATTTCATCCCTGCTCGGAGCAACGTCTAGATACGGACACAACTTCCCGTTTTGACCAGGTCCTGGCAGCTATCTATTTTCACGGAACCTAATATCTAGGCCCAAAATATGGACCAATGGCTATACGCCGGGGCATTATATTCACTCATAAAATCCTAATCTCTTTCTTGTATCTCTTTGCACTCTTTCTCACTAGATCATCAAAGTTCTTTGCAGGTACACCCCCTCCTCTCCACAAATTTCCAGCCAAGCAGACGTTGTCATCTCGACCCACTTTCAAGTTTTGATCACATATACTATCAGTGGCGCCGTCTGTGGGAATCTATCTTTCACGTCTTTCTTTTTCCCTCAAAATCAAAGACCAAAGATACCTTCACTACTTCAATCATGGCCGACCATGATGACCATTACCTCTTTGGAAAGACTGTACTTTCTTTTGTCTACAAAACCAACGAAGCCAGAAGCATCCTCACCTCGAGGATGACATTACCGACATCAGATATAGGCAACCAGTCTCTCCTGATTTAGTCTACGCCGATCACGACGACCCTCATTTCTTGGAAAAGGTCTTGGAGGATCAGAGCTCGAAGACACCC